GTAATGTAATGACTAAGGGGATCAAGCAGGCTTAGGAATAATATTGTTAGTTTAGAGTCTGACTGCTACTTGTTCCTTAATAAAGTTGTGACAGTTTGCATTGGTACCAACCTGTGATTGTAGTGATTTGACAATTCTGATACTGTGAGATACCTGGTAAATTCATTTATTATCTGTTGGTCGAAGTGTCGGATGGGTCCTATAGCACTCAGACAACAACAGGTTCATTCTTCATGGAGCCATAACTAATTCCCAGGGTAGTATCTTGCTAATCCTAACTGACTGTTTGAGAGCAGATTGCTGGACTGCTCCGAGACCCTGCAAGCCTCTTTGAGCACTGACCTTTACAACCAATGAATTCATTAAATTTCTTGCATCACTAATGTCAGATCCTCAAACCAGATTCTCCATGTACACTGGCACCGAATCTCTTAAGATGGGTCTTGAAGCCCTCTTGGTGCAACACAAAAACATAGCTTATCTTTTTCTATACACCTCTTGTACAAATGCATTGCCATTTCAGAAAATCTGAGAGATTGCTGCCTTGTGTGTTGCTTTATTTGCTGTACATCTTCTTGTAGCCACTTGCTCCACACAATATCAATAGACAATGAATATAGCTGTCCTTGTAAGAGGGGTACAATGCCTCTAAAATATGCAGATAATTGCAAATTGTAAGCCCTGCCCTTGAAAACAGAACTGCCTGAATTTTGAGATAGTGGGAACTGCCGATGCTGGAGAAGATGCCTGAATTTTTCCCCTTGTGTTTTCAGTCTACATTATCACAAGTGACAATTTTTAAAAAGACATTCTTCGCCACCCTTTTGAGAAGTTCAGAAACTGGAAACACACTTACTTGAATACATGTAATTTGATATTTTTCTTTTCATTTTCAGAATGTTTCTCTCCGCTAAACTGTGTGAAGGACAGTGCAGAACTTCGAAAAGACTGACTCATTGCTGAAGTGGGTGGATAGAATGAAATTCAACATGAAAAATTGTGAGGTGATACACTTTAGCAGAAAGAGAGACAATATGAAAGAAAGTGTCCACTCTAAAGAGTATGCAGAAGCAGAGACACCTGGTTGTATGGACATAAGGTGACAGAACAGCTGCAGACAGTAAGCAATACATCATACAGTATCCCTGACTTTATTAAATGGGATATAAAGAACAGGAGCATGGAGGTTATGCTGAAGAACACTGACCCTCCATCCAAGGCAAGATATTGCTGACCCCCTCTTCCTGCACTACCCTTTTTCCCCCAATGCACTACTATCTCCCCATTTATATATTGAGTTCTCGTCTTCACAATTGTATATCCCAGTGTGCTGCCTCCAATCCTCACAATTGAGTTTCCCAGCTTGCGTCTCGCAGCAGTGGAATCTAATAACCCCTCTTGACTTTCAGCAGAGCAAAACACAGGACTGGCCATGGCTATCTCCTTAACCAACGTGGATGGTCAGTCCTGACTGATGAGTGACCAGACTCCAGAATGATCTCCGTGCAGCTCCCAGACAGACTCCCTGTGACTCCTAGACCTACAGGGCTGATTGTGACATTAATGACCGCTTACAAATTCATGTATTCTGGGATGTATAGCCCAAACATTTTATGGCCAGTTTAGTGGGTAGCTTGGGGGCAAGTACCATGACATTATACTATTGTATGTCTTTCACTACCAAATTACTCACTGAGATCAATAGTTTGACCTTTGGAGGAGCCAAGTAGCTCAAAGCACAATATCCAGATTCACACATTTAAATGCAGATGGACACATTCCAGAAGTTGCTGTCCAATTTATTCTATTATAATGGTGAATCCTGACATACTATTATTATTAATTCAAAACTAGAACATTCAATTGTGTGTTAAAAATGCTATGACAGGAGCTTATCGTATCAGTCCAGATAACTACACCATGAGGTTTTGGTCATTGACTGGACCACATTCATCACAGTAAATCTGGAAGGTGGCAGTCTCCTTGTCAAAATGGGAATTCTAAATCAATGTTATTTTTCAGTATGTTTTGTAATTCATTTCCACTTATGCACTTTTCTTGGTAAATGTATACAAATAGACAAATCCCTGTGTGCTAACTGACAGAGATTACAACTTAAAACATTGTAAGTTTAATGGATGAATTGCAGGGTAATTAATTTTTGTTTGAATTATCAATTTTTTTAAAGCAGCTGCTCCAGTTTATAATCAAAGCTCCAGGTCAGTGCTACCAATATACTGATAAAAATAGTATACTTTGAATGAGTTGAAGTTAGTCATCCAATGTACTGTACATGCACTTCAGCTGCCTTTTGAGAATTTGCATTTTGAGAAAGGTGAAAAGGAAAGACATTTAAATAATCAAAAGTTTCATGAAAAATCTGTTTAATTAAAAATAGAATCCATAACCAATCGTACCATGTATACATTTTGTATATAAACTGTATATTCCTCTGATAGTATCCATATATTGTATTTTGAAAATGTTAGATTTTCTTATGAGCACTAATACAAATTTCAATTAAGTCTTGTAACTTGCTCAAACAGCATAATTACTATAATGTAAGTAACATTGTTGTTTGCTCATTTAACAGCGCCCTTCCCTCCTGATCAGAGTCAATCAACCCAATTTGTGATTTAATTTAAAGTGGCAAATTACATAAGTAATCATTCAATTATAAAATTTAACAAAAATATACACAGAATCACAAAATAACTTTTTTGTTGTGTGGTGAAAACTGTATGTGCTGTAACAAACAAATCAAATTCAAATCAATTGTAACAATCCCTGTCCTCTAAAATATATGGTACATTTACCATAGAAATATTTCGAAGTCTCTGATTTATGAAGGCTTCTTATGTACAGATGCGCTTCTCTTTATGCTCTTCTGTCTTTTTATTGAGAAGGCTGGTTCAAATTCAATGCCTCAAGGCAGAATATATCTGTTACTAAATGAAAAGTCAATTATTTACCTGAAGTATGTTCTATGTCAACACGAATGTGTTTCATGGTCCCACAAAACTAAGTTTGCCTGCTGTTAGTAATCTCCTCCTCTTCTGGTACAAGCCATAACTCCACATACTCTTACAGCTTTTGTAATTTTAATTGAATTGTTCAAAACTGGCTCTTGAATGAACATTGGTCAACTTTCTTAATTTTGAGATAACAAGGTGCAGAGCTGGATGAACACAGCAGGCCAAGCAGCATCAGAGGAGCAGGAAGTCTGATGTTTTGGGCCTAGACCCTTCTTCAGAAATGGGGGAGGGGAAGGCATTTCTGAAATAAATAGGGAGAGAGGGGGAGGCGGATAGAAGATGGATAGAGGAGAAGATAGGTGGAGAGGAGACAGACAGGTCAAAGAGGCGGGGATGGAGCCAGTAAAGGTGAGTGTAGGTGGGGAGTTAGGGAGGAGATAGGTCAGTCCAGGGAGGACGGACAGGTAAAGGGGGCGGGATGAGGCTAGTACGTAGGAGATGGGGGTGGGGCTTGAGGTGGGAGGAGATGATAGGTGGGAGGAAGGACAGGTTAGGGAGGTGGGGACGAGCTGGGCTGGTTTTGGGATGCGGTAGGGGGAGGGGAGATTTTGAAGCTTGTGAAGTCCACATTGATACCATTGGGCTGCAGGGTTCCCAAGTGGAATATGAGTTGCTGTTCCTGCAACCTTCGGGTGACATCATTGTGGCACTGCAGGAGGCCCAGGATGGACATGTCATCTGAGGAATGTGGGGGGAGGTTGAAATGGTTCACGACTGGGAGGTGCAGTTGTTTAGTGCGAACCGAGCGTAGGTGTTCTGCAAAGCGGTCCCCCCGATGTAGAGGAGGCCACAACGGGAACAGCGGATGCAGTATACCACATTAGCAGATGTGCAGGTGAACATCTGCTTGATGTGGAAAGTCTTCTTGGGGCCTGGGATGGGGGTGAGGGGGGAGGTGTAGGGGCAGGTGTAGCACTTCCTGCGGTTGCAGGGAAAAGTGCCGGGTGTGGTGGGGCTGGAGGGGAGGGTGGAGCGGACAAGGGAGTCACGGAGAGAGTGGTCCCTCCAGAATGCAGATAAGGGTGGGGAGGGAAAAATGTCTTTGGTGGTGGGGTCAGATTGCAGATGGCGGAAGTGTCGGAGGATGATGCGTTGGATCCGGAGGTTGGTGGGGTGGTACGTGAGGACGAGGGGGATTCTGTTTTGGTTGTTATTGCGGGGAGGGGGTGTGAGGGATGAGTTGCGGGAAATGCGGGAGACACGGTCGAGGCCGTTCTCGACCACTGAGGGGGGGAGGTTGCGGTCCTTGAAAAACAAGGACATCTGAGATGTACGTGAGTGGAATGCCTCATCCTGGGAGCAGATGCGAGGCGAAGGAATTGGGAATAGGGGATGGCATTTTTGCAGGAAGGTGGGTGGGAGGAGGTGTATTCTAGGTAGCTGTGGGAGTCAGTGGGCTTGAAATAGATATCAGTTTCTAGGTGGTTGCCAGAGATGGAAACAGAGAAGGCCAGGAAGGAGACAGAGGTATCAGAGATGGTCCAGGTGAACTTAAGGTTGGGGTGGAAGGTATTGGTGAAGTGGATGAACTGTTCAAGCTCCTCATGGGAGCACAAGGCAGCGCCAATACAGTCATCAATGTAACGGAGGAAGAGGTGGGGGATAGGGCCAGTGTAGCTACGGAAGAGGGATTGTTCCACATAACTTACAAAGAAGCAGGCATAGCTTGGGCCCATGCAAGTACCTGTGGCCACCCCCTTTGTCTGTAGGAAGTGGGAGGAATTGAAAGAGAATTTGTTGAGGGTGAGGATGAGTTCAGCTAAGCGGATGAGGGTGTCAGTGGAGGGGGACTGGTCGGGCCTGCGGGACAGGAAGAAGTGGAGGGCCTTTAGGCCATCTGTATGGGGAATGCAGGTGTATAGGGACTGGACGTCCATGGTAAAGATGAGGTGTTGGGGACCGGGGAATTGGAAGTTCTGGAGGAGGTGGAGGGCGTGGGTGGTGTCACGGACGTAGGTAGGGAGTTCCTGGACCAAGGGGGAGAAAATGGAGTCAAGATAGGTGGAGATAAGTTTGGTGGGGCAGGAGCTGGCAGAGACTGAATTAATTTTGGACTGAATTAATAATATTTCAGGCATTCCACTGAAATTATTAGCAGGCGCAGTGAATAGATTACCAACTCTGCATCAAATATGGGTGAAATTTGAAGATCACCTCCCATTAATTTCCCCTCTCCGCATTAGCCTTAAAGTAAATTTCCACAAGATGGCTTGATCAATAACCAATGACAGCTTCTTACTGTCTATGAGAAATCAAAACCCGTAGCTTCTCGATTAAGAATCAAATGCAATATTTTGCCATTATACCAGGTCTACACCATGTTTAAACAATATATATGAAAATAAGTCCATTTTATCCTGATAGCTGGATATTTTGTCTTAGTTTAAATCACATTTAGATTATTATTTTCCTTATTCAGCCGATGTTTGTAAATCTGGTATCAGGGGTTGAATGCACTCATCAACCACATTTGTAGCTGACAATCACAAAAGTTCTATTTTATATGTTGTGCTGATAATTGGTAACAAACATGCTTAATTTGCATTTTTAAAAAAAATTATCTGCCCATATCTGAACTTCACGCCACATGGTGTAGAACTCTGTTTAGTAATTGTTCGATTAAGATCTATACAAGTAGATTTCTTAAAATGCACTCTTGAAACTATTCCATTGGTTTACAGTATATGGATCCCCAACATAATTGAGTGTGATTCCTTCTTCTCTTATTTTAATGCAGGAATTCATTTTCAATTCTTCCACTAACTTTTGCATACCAAGTAGCACACTGTATAATTTAAGAGCCAACATTTTCAACTCAGAGGAAGGTGAAAGATCATAGTAACTGTTTCTCTATGAAGTGAGTTTGTCTACAGGTATCAGCAGTTACTTGTAACCCAATAACGTTATTGAAAGCCAAATTGTCATTATTATAGAAAAGTAAAATATTGCAGATGCTGGAAATCTGAAACAAACACAGAATGCTGGAGGATCTCAGCAAATCCAATAGCATCTGTAGAGTAAGAAATGTTCAGTCCAGTATGACACTGAACTCTGAGGAAGACGGTTTCTCTCTCCACGGATACTGCCAAATCTGTTCAGTTTCTCTGGCACTCTCTGTTTATTGTCACTATTTACAATCCTTTTAGAACAACATCGAAAAAAAAACCTTTCACATTCACTTCTGATTTTTGACTAATCAACCAAAAATAGGAATTTCAGTGATTAGTTACTGATATATTCGTTATTTTGAAGATTCGTTATCATCAAGATTCGTTATTTTTACCAGTTTATCTTCCATTTTTGATTTGCATAATCTCCTAATCGTTGAGCCACCTGAATTGTGCATGAGGTTTCGTATGTCGGCAACTTGCTGCGTGGAATTTAACTGTGACGTATGGAGCATATTTTTCAGTTTGATCTTATTTTTCATAAAGACACACACATAAACAGGAGTATAATCTTAAACCAAAAGAGTCACAGTTGTTTGGTGTTGTACTAAGAATTGGTGAGTTATGGAAAATGAACATGTTGTTCTGATGACATTGATTTACATGTTATTTGCCACTCAGTCATTTTGCTAAAGTGTTACACCCTGTACCACTGGATTCATTAACCTTTCAGTCTGCGTAACTTCCTTCATTGGTCAAAAAAGTGTTACAGGGCCATTAATTCAGGCCAATAACTATGCTTTAGCCCAAACTAATAATTCATAATTTGCAGGTAAAAGTACAGCCTCATACATTATAATTCTGCTCTGATAAGTTTTAAATGAAGGAGCAGAACATCTCCTGGTGTCTATATTTATGAGATAGTCTGAAGGGAACTTTTTCACAGCTTTTGAAGAAAGTCAAACTGATAGAAAAGCATTTCCAGCATCTTCAGGTTCACTTGAGCAGAAAGAAACATATCATGTGACCTTTCAAGTCATTAACAATTATGGAACAAGTGGTTTCAAATTTAACTTGATTATTTGAAAATTATGTTACAACTTTAAACTTTTCCTGCACATCAAAATAAAGAAGTACCACAGAAGTACATTAAAGATTTAGGCAGCGATCTGTCACGATAGTGAATAAAAAACATGATTCTATTGTTTCACACTGTAATATCTTTCATAAGCCAGCATTTTGATTTACAAATTAAACAGGTACCGAAGATTCAGTTTCTCTATATGCATTCAATTGTCAAAACACAATGGTTCGGCTATGTAAGAGGACATTACAATAACACATTTCTGCATATTAATCCAAAATATAAGTTTTCATTGTCTGTTCCACTTGACAGATTAAAAATGAAGAGTGGTCACTGTTTTACACAAGGCATTTGTTTGACACAAATTATCTTGCCTTATGACATTATTCCACAGGTTGCAATGAACAATACTCTTATATACAAGATAACATACACCTCAATATGAAAGGCACATTATGTTTTAATAGCCTAATAAAACTCGAAGACTTTGTCAATTTCATTAATTGCCCATTTTGAAGGTAGCTTATAATGAAAATAATTAAGTGCTTATACAACATTCATTGGTTTCATTGCTCAGTCTGTTAATGGATTGAATGTATTATTTCTGTGAATGTGCATTTATTTTTCCAAATCTTTTCAATCACATAGTTAACAACCTTAGAAGACTGGAAATATCTAATCATTCAAAGATTGAGTCTCCACATAATTATTATCAACAAGCATCACATTATCCTATCATTGCAAATAGGTAGTAAAACAATTGGGGCAAATTTGAATTCTGTAAGTAAATATGTTTGAGTGCCTGACTCAGTTGTTCACAATAACCATTAGTTATCAGTGAAGATAACCATTAAATAGTTTATTTTGTGCATTTGAAATTGGCCCCATATATAATTCCGATTGTAAGTGGGCCCTTTGAGAAATTCATGTGTAAGTTTTCAGTAATGTATCTACCTCTGCAGAAGAAAATCTTCCACCCTCTACATTGTATTTTTCTAGTTCTAAATGTCAGTTTGTTATTTTTGTATTTTGAATATTCTCAAACACATCCAAACCTGTCTTTAAGTAAACCTGAGCAGATCTAATGCTGTTCCGCACCATAGACACAATTTTGGATAGAGTTTGGTTTGTCTTCTGAAGTTTGCAGTGGTTAACAGCTTCTTTCATGACAGAGAATTGTCTTGATGACTCATTGAGATGATATAGAATATTTCTGAAACACAAATAACATATGCTAATTACATAAAAATATCCAGCATTAATATGTTTAAAACGCTGTGGTCATATTCTAAAAAATTCAACATTTTAGAGAATGTTTATTGGATTTGTAATAACAGAAATAAAAGTATTTATGATGGTCTGGACGTTTCAGTGATTGTTTCTTTGAAGCCAACAGGACTCACCATTATTTGTGAGTAAATCAGATAGCAACTTCAGCCAAGTCAAATGCTCAATTAAACACAGAGATTCCGACGATGCTGCCCAAGATGTGCTACTCCTCTAAACTGCGCAAAAATTGCATCTCATTGTCTGCCTCCCATTCAAATGCATTGAACAGTTTGAAAATTTCTATACTGACATCATAGATACAAACTAAATTTGGCAGAATGCTTTAAATCAAGTCTTGACTAAGCACATATTTGGGATTTGGGGTGGGCTGGCTAGATGGATACAAAACTGGCTTGGCCATAGAATACAGAGGGTAGCAGTGGAAGGGTGTTTTTCAGAATGGAGACTGATAAGTAGTGGTGTTCCACAGGGATCAGTATTAGGTCTTCTGTTGTTTGTGGTATATATAAATGATCTGGAGGAAAATGTGGGTGGTCTGATTAGTAAGTTTGCAGATGAGACAAAGATTGGTGGAGTTGCTGATAGTGCCGACGATTATGAAAGGATACAACAGGATATAGATTGATAGACGACTTGGGCACAGAAATGGCAGATGGAGTTTAATCCAGACAAATGCGGGGTGACGCATTTTGGAGGATCAAATTTAGATGTGATTTATTCTGTAATTGGCAGAACTCTTTGGAACATTAACATACAGATGGATCTGGGTGTGCAAGTCCACAGTTCCCTAAACGTTGCCAAAATGATTAAGAAGGCATATGGCATGCTTGCCTTCATCAGCCGGGGCATGGAGTATAAGAGTTGGCAAAACATGTTGCAGCTATATAAAACCCTTGTTAGGCTGCATTTGAAGTATTATGTGCAGTTTTGGTCACCACACTACCAGAAGGACATGGAAGCTTTGGAGAGAGTGCAGAGAAGGTTCACCAGGATGTTGCCTGGTCTCAAGGGCATTGGCTATGAGGAAAGGTTAAAAAGACTAGGATTGTGTTTGCTGAAAAGATGGCGGCTGAGAGGAGACCTGATAGAGGTCTACAAAATTATGAGGCATGGATAGGATGGATAGTCAGAGGCTTTTTCCCAGGGTTGAAGTTTCAATTGCAAGGGGGCAAGGAACAAAAGACATTAGGATCCTGAGACTGGCAATCAGCATCATTGAGAGATGTGGGAAGAGGTCAGACAGAAGCAAACAGACTGGCAGTAGACCTGTGTGGGAGTTGGGGGTGGTGGCAGTGAGGTTAAAAGTAGTACCAAAAGCAGGGAGTTCTCAGAAGCAGACTGACCAAGGACAGAGCTATGTAGGACTCAATTGTGGTAGCAGTGAGTTAAAAGCAGTAGTGAGAGTGGAGGAGTCTCAGATATAGATAGATAGTGGAGTGTAGAGGGCAGGTGAATATGTGGCTGGAGAGATGATGCAGGAGGGAAAGCTTGAGATTCCTCAGGTATTGGGACCATTTCTGAGGAGGTGGTACCAGTACCAATCGGAAATCTTACATTTGAACAGAAATGGGACAAACATCCTTGTGGGAAATATGTTAATGGAGTTGGGAGTGGGTTTAAATTAGATTGGTGGGACAATGGGATAGTTTGGAGGGAAGAGAAGGTGAGAAGGAATTAGAAGTTAACTCACTAATAAGTGAGTCTGAAAGGCAGAGGTTAATATATGCTAGATAAGAAAGAAATTAATTTACCAAGGCTAAATTGAATATATTTCAATAGAAGGAGCCTGAGGAATAAGACAGGTGAGCCAAGGGCACAGTTAGGCATGTGGGGAGTATGATATCATAGTTATGACCAAGAGTTGGCTGAAAGATGGGTTGGCAACTCAATCTTCCCATCTATGGGGTATTCAGACAAGACAGAGATGGAGATAAAAGAGGAGGGGTAGCAGCAATATTGATTAAGGAATAAATTGTGTAGTGAGGAGGAATGATACCTTAAAAAGATCATTAAATGGAGCTACAAAGAAGTAAAAAAACACTAAGAGGGCAAACACACTGTTAGTTGCATACCCCAAACAGCCATTTACAGATTAACCAGGGATTTGTTAAAAGAATGCTTGACAAATTTGATCAAAATTTCTGAGACGGTAAGCAGGAGTGTTGAGGAGGGCAATGTTCTTGGTTTGATCTACATAGACTTTAGCCAGGCAATTTTATAAAGTTCCTCATAGCTGACTAGTCAAGAAAGTATGAGCCCATAGGACCCAAGGCAAAGTAGCATGTTAGAGGCTGTCTGTGGTGTACATTAATGATTTGGATTTAATTGATCAAGAAGTTCACAAATGACACCAAAATTGCTGGGTGGTAAATACTGAGGAGGATATCATAAACTGCAAAAGGATATCAATGGACTGATCAGGTGGACAGGGCAGTGGCAAATGGAATTCAACTTTAAAAAATCTAAGGTAATGCACTTGGGGAGGGCTAATTATGCAAGGGATTTTACCCTGGAAAGTACTGAAGATCAGAGGGATGTTGGTGTGCATATCCACAGATCCAAGAAGGTAGCAGGGGAGGTGGATGAGCAGGTAGGTTATGCTGGAACTGTATTAAAAGCTGGTTAGACGATAGCTGGAGCACTGTCTTTAGTTCCTGTCACCATGCTAAAGGAAGGATGTGAATACACCAGCTAGGGTGAAGAGTAAATTTACTCGGATGTTGCCTGGACTAGAGGATCTGAACTATGAAGAAAATTTGTAGAGTGTAGGGTTATTTTCCTTGAAAGAGCGAAGGTTGAATGGGGACCCGACAGGGGTGTATGTGATTATGACAGGCCTGAGTAGGTGGATAGGAAGGCACTTTTTTTCCATTAGTAGAGGGGCCAATGACACTGGGGCATGGATTTAATCTAAGAGATAGAAGGCTAAGAGAAAGGTTGAGGTGAGTTCTCACTCAAAGTGACGGATACTTGGAACTTATTGTCTGAAAGAGCGGTTGAGTCAGAAATTCTCAAAACATCTCTGCAATATTAAATATTTACTTGCATGTTGTAGCCTCCAGGGCTATGGGCCAAGGGCTGGAAAATAGGATTAGGGTTGTCAAATCTTTGCTGATGAGTAGGGACAAGATAGGCTGAATGGCCTCCTTCTTTGCTACAAAGGTCTGAGTTACTATAATTACTTTCACAGTTTGAAAGTGGAGACATTATTCCTTTAAATGTGGGCATACGTTTGACTTTTTGGCTGTGTATATTGCAGTATTACATTTTACTTAAAATAATCTCGTGTTGTAAAGGGAGGAGCCCATGGTAGTTAAAATGCCAGTTTGGTATAATATTGCAATAGTTATTTCTGAATTGGAAATATATTTCTGATTGTTTAACAATATATTCTGTTGGAGTAGATGCCTTGGGCAAACTATTACATGTATTTCAAACTGCAGAACTTTAAAATGATGAGTGGATGTGGTTTGAAATTTGCATTCAAGTACAATAATACATGAATCAGGTAAACAAAACAGGAACATAAATCCTTCATTACATTTGTCATAAACAAGTCAGAATACAAGTGATAATGCATACAAAATCAAAATACTGTAGGTGCTAGAGATCTGAAGGAGAACAGAAAATGGTGGAAATATTGAACAGGTCATACAACATGTGGACGGATAACCACATTAATGTTTAAGATCGATGATTTTTCATCGGGACTGGACAATTAACTATAATAACATAGAATTAAAATTTAATTGGAAATATAGTTAGCAATGGGAAGGGCTATGAATATAATCTTCATTAAGTGACAACCCATTCAGCATGATCAAAATGGTAAAAACAAAGATAGTGGAGACCAGTCTTTCTGCATTCAGTACCATAATACAGATATCAAATATTTTAGTTAAATGTATTATCTTGTTGTAATATTTTTATCTTTTCAAATCAGTTACTTGATCCCTTAATCCATGAGGTTCTGCTCATCTTTAAATTACTTCTGGGTCAGACTGAAATAACAGGTATATCAGCAAGCTTGTGGAACTAGGAACGTGGCAACAGATAGGAAAGTGGTAAAACAACATAGATATTAAATTTGAGCCATTTTGGAAGTGAAATCACAATATTAGCAACCTACATGTGAACAATGTCTAATCCAGTTCACTTAATTGATGATTTTATAAGGGTAAAACCAATATACTCTAAAACTTCTGCATTAATCAATGGTCTCAAATTTAAAAAAAACTGTTAAAATATTAATAGCTTAAATCTCTTGTATCACTAGCCATGATACACTTTTAAATACAATTCAAAAAAATGAAAGACTTCCACGTGCTTCATAAAATTCTGTCCATTTGGGTGCATTTTATAGTTTTTGTTATTAGACTGTTTGACTATGTGTGAATCTACTACGTTGATGCAATATGGGATTATTAAAATGTAGGATTTACAATCTCTGATTTCTACAACAGGCATCTCTTTAAACCTACAGAGGAGAAAATTAGGCTGCACAGTGATCAAAAGACCATAAAATGGAGGGATAGATGCAGGCCATTCAGCCCACTGAGTCTGCTCTACCATTCACTGAGACCATGATAATCCTCAACTCCACTTTCTTGTCTTATCCCATAACTCTGGCTTCCCTTTCTGAATAAAGTTGGCTCTACCTCAGGTTTGAATATAATTAATGATCCAACTTTGACAGCCCTCAGGTGCAAAAAAAAAATCCACAGATTGACTACACTCAGGGTAAAAAAAAAACACCCTCCTGTCTTAAATGTGAGACCTCATATTCTGAGATTATGCCCCTAGACTTTCCCACAAGGGGAAACAAACTTTCTACATCTGCCTGTCAAACCCCTTTGGATCACATATGTTTAAAGAAAATCTCTTCTCTTTTTACTAAACTCCAGCTGGCACAAGTCCAATCTA